GTTAACGTCTTTGAAGTCAATTAGATAGGGGTTCTAATTGCAACTCTACCACTACCCAGCTATACGTCATTGATTTAACATTCTTTAAGCCTTAGTTTACTGTAGAGTGGGAATAATACCTACTTCACAGCATTGCTGTTTTTTTTAACATGGAAGGAAAAAAATAACTTACAACTATAAATTTATTTGTAACACTTCTGATATATAGTAAATACTAAATTAAAAATAGAATGTTATAGAAGGTTGAATGATGAGGACTCCCCTAAGATGGTTTGACTACCACGCATGTTTATGGACAGTCTTGAGCCTCTTCACCAGATCTCAAGGACATTTCTCATGGTTTTAATTTGTATTTATGTAGCAAAGATCACCTTAAAAATACAAGTATAAAGACGATGGTGGATTTGATCATACATGCTGGCATACAATGCTACATCTTTCAGATTACCCTTGACTCTTTTTGTTGATAAACACTAAGCCTGCTGTCAGTGTACATTAAATGTTAGGTTAAGACATTCTTCATTGAACTGGTGAGCAGCAACAAAAATAAAATAAAACAAAACAAAAGTGAGAAAAGGCACCTTTTATCTAACCAGCTTAGGGAAATACGTTGTAAGGAACAAATTTATGTGTAACACTATGATGTATATATGTTGATGTTTACTTACATTAATATAATTGAATGTCACCATGATAGTTATTTTAACAAAAACAGATACAGTTCAATTGGCAACAAATAAGCTACTGTAAATTTTTCTGTCTTGATATAGAATGCATAATCATTAAAAATACTATATTTTAAAAGAACAAAATCATATCACTTGTGGAAAAATTGATGAAAGGCAGATCCTATTGTAATAAAAATAAACTAGACTCATAAAAATAGGAATTTCATTATGGACTGTAGGGCAGCTTAAAATAGACATAAAATTAAAATTTTAACAATCAGGGTGTTGAAGGGGAAATGGGGGGTTGAATAAACAAATATATATTATATGATATCTTGAAATATCATAGAAAATCTGATGATTATTTTGTACAACTAACCTATGCTAATAAAATAAATAAATTTGTATTATAGAAAATAAAGGTTTTGGCTTAGTGGCAGAGCACAAGTTAGCATGACCAAGGTCTTGGACTCAGTCCCCAGCTCACAGATGTTTTAATCTAACAGTAACATGAAGATGTGGTGACACAGCCAGTGAGCTGCTCAAAAATAGGCATGTAGACTACCTGCCTCTGTACAGAAACACATGAATACATAAATACACAAACACACATATGTGATGTATAATGAGACATATTAAAACATAATATTTATGTACATATATGCAATATTGAGATTATTTTATTCAGATAATGTAAATGTTCCCACTACTGGTAGAATTACCTGTAATTTTTATATTTAACTTTATTGTATTTTACAATTTTCTACAAAAATCTCACGATATTTTTGAAATTCCAAGAAACAAAGAAATAATATATTTTTATAACAAATGGCCACATTTTCTCTCAATTTCTGAAGACACTTGGGAATCTCTTCCCACCTCATCTCAAGTTTTTCTTTCCGTCATGATAAGTGCTTTCTGAACCAAAATTATCAATTAGCAAATCTAAAGCAAGAGCAGAGAAACACTGCAGTGTTCATCTCTGGGACCCTGTCTCCTTTGTCCCTTCCAGGAAATGTCTTCTTTATCTCTTGAAATTCTACTCATCCTACAAGATCGACTCAAATGTTTCCTTCTCCGATCATACATTTCTCCTCTCTCTCCTCTCCTCTTCCTCCCCCTCTCCACATATATACTCCAAAGTCCAAGAACAACTGGTCTGTCCTTTGCTAATTACCTTGGATGCCTTTCTCAATTCTTACAGATTTCAAGATGAGGGTAGTGGTATTTGGAGAATTGAAGAATGAATATCCTAATGGTTGAAGGTGGGAGTTTCTGCCTATTTTTTCCCAATTGGGAATATGACTCAAATATGGCCAAGTTTTCTAATATGTCAACAAAGAAAATGTATTGTGCAGAAGTTTCCATTTTTAAAAATTTTAATTCATTAAAAATATCCAAACACTGGGCAGGCAAATTAAAATCAAGACATCAGATCCAGGTTGCATATTCTGTGTGGGTTCCAGCATCCTCATCTCCTCTATGCCCCTCAGTACCTTGGCTTGGGTCTGCTCATAGTGACTCGCACCAGCAGGCTTCTAAGGAAGTCAGTCAATTGGCAAGATGATAGGGTCCACACAAGGATACATCATCCAACATTAACATTTTATAACTTGTTTTGATTTTGAGCTTTCCTTCAAAGAAGCTTCCAAAGGTAAAATGAGAGAGAATTCTTTCTTTATGACTCAAAAACAGAAACCTGTTTCCTGTACTTTGTACTAACCCAAGAGCTCCGTCAGCACTCAATAAATAATAAATTACTGTCATTTAATTACAGCTTTTATGCATCCAGGTCATGTTATATTGACTTCACATTCATAGTCAACTTTTCTACCACTTAAGAAGAAAGCAGCGAGGGATAAAAGGCAAACAAAAGACAAGCCATGATCTAAGAAAGAGACACAATTTTTGTGTCTGCCTCAGAAGAGCTGAATCAGGCAGGGAAAATAGAAATGAATCTAAGCCAGATGAATACCTCATAGCAAGCAATAGGAGAACTGCACAGGGGCATCCAGACTCTGCTACATTACCTCACAGGCATGGACCAGAGACCATTACCTAAGTGCTTTTGCTTCATCCAAGGGGGCACCTTAAGTGAGGGTGACAGCGATGATCTAATAAAAGGCACTGTCTCAAAGTCAGATAGCCAAAAGATGTAGCCCAGAATCTTGAATGTGCCCTTAGTCTAGATACGAGAAAGAGTGAGATAGAAGTGATATCACCATTTCTTCACTGGTGGGAAGAGAACCATTGCTGGCTTAGAACACACAACCACAACAACTCTGTGGGTTCCACTGACTAAGAGGAAGAGTTCTTCCAGATGCCACTGCTGCCCTGATGGTACTAGGATAGGGAGGTACAAGTTCATTCAGACAGTCAACAGACAGCATTTGCCATGTGACTAGTCTGGTTCAAACAACAGACATTTTTCTTCGTGTATTCCTTACTGTAGAAGGAGAAGGGTAATAAACATTTTTAAAAGACGTGTCCAGTAGTTGTACAGCTTGTTCATAAAACAAAACAGTAAGTTGCCATATCATTAGATGGGTTGTTAGAATTGTGGTCAGAGAAGAAATCTGAGGAGGTGACCTACGGAAGAGATGCTTAATGAGAAGAAAGAAGCGGCCATGTCTAGTTCTAGGATAGCAGCATCCCTTCGAGGGATAAATAGTAAGTGCAAATGAAAAAGTATTTTTTTGTGTTTGAAATTTTTAAAAATTGGATATGTATGAAAATTAGAATGCAGTAACTAGGCTGAGGCAGCAAGAAAAGAAGAAAACTCTTTGATAGCTTGAGATCCCTAGGAATGTATCACATTCAGGATGTTCACAAAGCCATGGAGGGCTTAAACACAGGGTACCATCAGTTCTGCCACTTGCATTCCTGTGGATTACTTGAAACCAATTTTATTTGTACAAATGGGCAATGGAGACCTGTTGACATGTCAGACCAAGAACCTTGTATGCTCTACCACATCCCTAAGTTTGAGGGAGATTTTAACTTGGGCACAGAGGAAGAGCTGGTGATAAAGTTAAGAGAGGTTCATAGAAACCTGTAATATTGTTTAAGGCTGCCCCTGGACTCCACTTAAGCAAAGGCTTGCCAGCAAACTGAGTCTTCCTTAAAATCTCCACAGTTCCCACTGTTGTCTCTGTCAGGCTCGTGTTTGTCAGTGAGCCTCATAAAGCAAACACCATCTTCACTGAATCCTTTCATCCCTTCATGTACTACATAGTAACTGTCACGTGATAATTACCCAAACCCACAGCAAAATTCACAGGGATATAAAGAGTATACACTTTATAGCAATCATGTATCAGCACCAACTAGCTTCATGGGAAGTGAACTGACCATGGGACCAAGGTTTCCTTCAATATTCTAACTGACAGTTCAAGGGTTGTACCACAAATAATAAAAACCCAGAGACAGATAGAGTTCAAGCTGAAGATCAAAAAAGCAAAGCAGCCAAAACAACATAGAGCTCTTACCTCTCCCAAGGCTGGAGTGGTCCTGTCCTCAATATAGCTGGAGACTAATTGTCAGCTTTGAGACCCTGCTCCTGTTGTATATACCTCTCTATATGTGCTGGGATCAAAGGCATGTACCACCACTTCCCAGCTTCTAAGGCTAACTAGTATGGCTGCTGAGATTAAAGGTGTATACCACCACTACCTGGCCTCTATGACTGTGGTTAGCTTTGCATTCTGATCTCCAGGCAAGCTTTATTAAATCATAAACAACATATTGCCACAGAGGGCCATTATTTTAAAGAGCCAAAGCTAACTTTACTTCAGTATTAGAAACCATGATACTCAAATCTGAGCTTTTCTGAATTATAACTGTTGCAAAATGTTTGATTATGCTGTGTAAAGATGTGTCACTGTGATTGGTTTAATAAAAGCTAAATGGCCAATAGCTAGGCTGGAGGATAGGTGGGGTATTCAGGCAGAGAGAGAAAAGAGGATGTGAAATCCAGGCAGAGGAAATAGAAGGTTCAAGATGAAAGAGGGGTGACACCACATGATAGAACATAGATTAAAATCAACAGGTTAAGTTATAAGAGCTAGATAGGAACAAGCCTAAGATATAGGCCAAGCTTTTGTAATTAATAAGAAGTCTCATTATTTGGGAAGTATCATTATTTGGGAGCTGGATGGCAGGACAGAGAAACACTCATTACATAAAACTGCAATGCTGAATCTTTGTTTATTGCCATCTTAAAAGGTGGCCTCACTCATGTAACTCTAAGGCACCCTTCTGCTTGTGGAGTGTGTGTGAACGATGAATCACGGAGGAGAAATTTAATAAAGGAGAAGTCAGCACCATACTTACATATCCATATTCCAAATCCCAGCACCAGCAGTAATTGCAAAACCTCACAAAGCACGCTCTGAGGAAGTCACCAATGAGGATTGTGACATAAGTGGTCAGAACATCGGAAACGGTGAGTCGCACAAACTCCTGGCATGAAACAGTCTTTATTAATGAACACATTTATGTCTTCAGATGACCCTAATATTGATATAAAACTGTCATGTTTCTAAGTCACTGGCTTGAAGAACTATAGCTAATAGTAAAAGAAAAACAAATTAAATAGGCATATCCAGTAAATGAAAAAAACTCCCCTATATTTGGTTACTCTTAAACTAAGCAGCTCCATCCTCAAATCTCTATACCAGCTTATTATTATTATTCCTGCAAAAATGTATGACACTGATGTTTAAAGGCAAATGGAAAAATACTCATCATGCACAGATTTTAGGTTTGCACCTGGCACTGAATTGTATGTTTTGGAAGTGTAGAGTGTATATGGTACATGAAATAAACTTCAATGAGGTTGCTTAAAAAGCACCTTTTTACTTAGTTACTTTCCTTGAGGTTGACCAAATTCATGACAAGAAGCTGCATAAGAAAGGAGGGTTTCCTTTGGTTTACAGTTGAAGGGGATACGGTGCATTAACCAGGGAAGCATAGTGGCATGAATGTGAGGCAGCTGGTCACAATACTAACACAGTCAGGAAGCCAAGAATGAACATCAGTGGGTTCAGACTAACCCTATCCTAGACTTCCCCCCATGACCCACTTTCACCTGCTTGGTTCTGTCTCCTAAAGGTTCTCCCACCTTTCAAACAGTGCCACCAGCTTGCAATCAAGTGTTCAAACACATAAGCCTATGAAATGCACTTCACATTCAAACCACAACAGTACTTTATTAAAAAGCTAAAACTTTGTTTTCAACACAAGTTTTTAAAAATCCATAGACTAAGATATGTGAAATGAACTTATTTTTAACAAAACAACCATGTCTGTATACATACATACATATATATATATATACATACATATATATATATGGAAATAAAAGTTGTGAAAAAGTCAAGTCACTTCTGTGGCATGGGTTTGAATTTAAATGCAAAGTATGTGTATTGTGAGTTGGACAGGAAGGTCAATATTACCTCATGGAAATATATAACAATAAACATTAACAAAAATGACAAATAATTATACATTTTCCTCACCACAGTTAACCTGTTTCTTTTCTATTTCTCTTCAATAATTTTTATTCTGAAGATTAAAGACTGAATGCATAAAGTCATAAGTTCACAGAGGTCAAGGACGGGGATACAGTTCATTTGATGGAGTACTCGCCTAGCATGTACAGAGCACTTAGTTTGACCCCCAGCACTGTGTTAATCACCAGTGGTGGAACCAGTGGTCCTAGCACTCAGGAGACAGAGCCAAGAAGAGCTGAAGTTCAAGGGTATCCTCAGCTACACAGTAAATTCACAACTAGCCTGGGGTCCATGAGTTCCTGCCTTAAGGAAAAAATAAGAAAAAGAAGTAACAGTATTCTGTAAAAAGCCTTTTGATTTTTTACTTCTATCCATCTAGATGGTCTCCTTTCTAAAATAATGAGTTCATTGACTCATAGAGCAAGTAGGTATTTGACAAAATCATCAGTGAATTTCCAGCCTCGTGCTTCAAAGCTACGCCTCCTAAAAAACTCCTGGCATCATCAGCCACCATCACCTTCCTTGCCATACCATATTAAATGTTAATAACTAATATTTATTTTGTAATATATTAAAATAAAATATATTCATCAACACATTAGGTATAAGTTAACTATAATGTAAATATGATGAAAACAAAAGATTATTGAAAACTCAATATGTATTTTAAGTTATTTTAGCATTAATTCCCTTGCACAGTAACTCATGACAAAGGACTGTAAGTAGAAGAACATCTTGACCACAAAGCAAACAAATAGACAGGAAAAGTGAGGGAAAGGAAAGAAAGGCTTTGCCCATAGGTGTTTTGAAACCTCTCATCACTGGGTCACGTGATTCCCCATCCTTGTGGGGGCTTTGCATACAGCTCTCTGTGTTATTCTTGTATTGCTCCTCCTTTGTTTTTGGTGTGTATGTGTGTGTGTGTGTGTGTGTGTGTGTGTGTGTGTGTTTTCTTTGTAGTCTCACTGGCCTTCTTTCAGACCATCAAATTCCATATTTTTCAGGGTACTCAGCCCTTCATATAGTCTTCCTCGGGCAACCTCACCTAACCCACATCCCGACTCATTTTGTACCAGCTGACAAACCCTGTCATAGTGTGACAGCTGCAAGCTTCCTTTGCTTACTTAGACAGATAAGCACTGTAAAACAAACAAACAATTTAGTTTTGTAGCCCACTTTTTAATTGGATCCTTTGGTGTTTTGGAGACTTGTTTCTTGAGTTCTTTGAAATTTTGGAGATTGGCCCTATGTCAGATGTGGGGTTAGTGAATATTTTTTCCCATTCTATGGGCTGCCTTTTTGTCTTGCTGACTGTGTCCTTTGCCTTACAGAAGCTTCTCAGTTTCAGGAGGTCCCATTTATTAATTGTTGATCTCACTGTCTGTGCTACTGGTATTATGTTCAGGAAGCTGTCTCCTGTACCAATTCATTCAGGGGTACCACGCACTTTCTCTTCTAAGAGGGTCAGTGTGGCTAGATTTATGTTGAGGTCTTTGATCCATTTGGACTTAAGTTTTGTGCATGGCAATAAACATGTATCTATCTGCATTCTTCTACATGCCAGCCTCCAGTTATGCCAGCACCATTTGTTGAAGATGCTTTCTTTTTTCCATTGTATATTTTTAGCTTCTTTGTCAAAGATCAGCTGTTCATACATGTGTGGGTTAACATCAGCGTTTTCAATTCGATTCCATTGGTCTACCTGTCAATTTTTGCCAATACCAAGCTGTTTTCAGGACTATAGCTCTATAATAGAGCTTGAAGTCAGGGATGGTGATGCCTCTGGACATTGCCTTGTTGAACAGGGTTGTTTTGGCTATCCTGGGTCTTTTGTTTTTCCATACAATATTGATTATTGCATTTTCAATAGAGGAGTCTAAAATGGCTGAGAGGCACTTGAAAAAGTTCTCAATATCCTTAGCCATCCGGGAAATGAAAATCAAAACAACTCTGAGATACCATCTCACTCCTGTCAGAATGGCTAAAATCAAAAACACCAATGACAATTTATGCTAGAGAGGTTGTGGTGAAAGGGGAACAATCCTCCACTGCTGATGGGAGTGCCAACTTGTACAGCCACTTTAGAAATCAGTGAAGATTCCTCAGAAAAATGGGAATAAACCTACCACAAGACCCAGCAACTCCACTCTTAGGCATATATCCAAAAGATGCCCATTCATACAACAAGGATGCCTGTTCCACTACATTCATAGCAGCATTATTTGTAATAGCCAGAACTTGGAAGCAACCTAGATGCCCCTCAACCAAAGAGTGGATAAAGAAAATGTGGTAAATTTACACAATGGAGTACTATTCAGCAGAAAAAAACAATGGAATCATGAAATTTGCAGGCAAATGGATGGCACTGGAAGAAACCATCCTGAGTGAGGTAACCCAGTCACAAAAAGAGAAACATGGCATGTACTCTCTCATATATGGATTTTAGACAAAGATCTGGGGAGTACCAGCCTACAATCCCATGGCCAGAGAGTCTGGGAAACAGAACCTTCATTCAGTGGCTGATGGAAGAAGAGACAGACTCCCACAGCTAAGCACTGAGCTGAACTCAAGAAATCCAGTGACAGAGAGGGAGGACTGATGACCAAAGGGATTAAGACTGGGTTGGTTTAACCCCCAGAAGTACCTGACCTGACAAGGGTTAGCTCTTGAATCCCAGACTGATGCCTGGGAATCAACATGGGACCTATCAAGACCCCCTGAATGTGGGTGTCAGTGAGGATGCCTAGGTAATCTATTTAGCCTTGGGTAGTAGATCAGTATTTATCCTGGGTATACAAATGGACTTTGGACTCCCATCCAACAATGAGAAATGCACTCTCACCATGAACTCTTGGGCAAACCATGTGTTCTAAGAGTCTCTGTTCTCAAATGTTGGGTTGCAGATTTAGGGGCTAGGTTAGGTGTGAAGAAGGCCCTTGAGAACATACTTCACACAGAGCACTGAGACGTAAATCCACAAGTGACTGCCTGTTCCTCATAGAACAAAATGTCACAGACTCTGTAGGTGAAAGTAATACTACTATGCCAATTTGCTCTTTGCTCCTCTCTCTCTGTCGCTGGGTTCCTTGGGTTCTGTTCAGTATTTAACTGTGGGTGTGGCAAAACCAGCAGAAACAGCTGATCCCAACAGGGGAGAGCTCTTGGACCCCAGACCGACAGCTGGGAGGCCAGCATGGGAAAGATCCAGATGCCCTCAATGTGAGAGTCAATGAGGAGGCCTAGGCTACCTATGGGATCCTGAGCAGTGGATCAGTGTTTATCCCTCGAATACTAACAGGCATCGTGTGTTCATAACACAAAGAGGGTTGCTCTCTCTGCCTTGACTCTTAGGGAAGTGCCTGGACCCTACCCTGAATGAAATGATAGACTCTAGATATCCCCTATGTGGAAGGAATTGGCAATAGGGTGGGAGGATGGGGGGGGTTGGGGGGGTGTGGGGGGAGGGGAGGGAGAGGGAACTGGGATTGACATGTAAAACAAGCTATTTAAAATATAAAAATGTTAAAAAAAAGAAAAGAAAAGAATACAACTATTTTCTTATGATTCTTAGAAGTTGCAAGTCTAGAATCAAAGTATAGATGTGGGGAGAATCTGTTTCCCCAAGTTTCTGACTCCTAGAGGTTGCTCACACTCCTTCAGCTATTTCCCCTTCCTCCATGTCTGAAGAACATCGCTCCAACTTCTGCCTGCTTTGTCATATCTCAATTCTCTGACTTTGACCCTATGTCTCTCTAATAAAAAGACCCCTTATAACTTTATTAGACTCACTCACCATGGTTCAGGGTCATTCATCCTGCTAAATACCTGTACGTGTCAAGTAAGTCAACAGACTCAAAGGTGAACAACTTGGAGGCCCTCTACCACACCGTAGCCCACAGCATCTCTCTTTCAAAGGCAGACAAGCTTTATTTTATTATTTATGTATGTTTCTAGAAGAGTGTATGGTATGTGAAGATCTGAAAATCTAGCAGCATACATTAAGAACTTATCTGATTCTCAAATACTTAAAAAGTAAATAAAGCAAATTATACTATTCACTCTTTATTCCATCTTCAGGCATACAATTCTAGTGTGCGTGCATACATACACACACACACACGTACATATATTTTCATCCCATAATTGAAATCACAATGACTTAACCTCATGAACAACAGACTGAAAGTAAAGGTATCTTTTGAGTTCACATTTACTTACATTGCATTACTTGAGTAAAACTTGTGCTAATACATTGGTATTCTCACCCTATAGAAAACACAATTTTAAAAATCTGTTCAACTAATTCACAGAGACTACATAACTGATACTTTTTAACTGCTCTGTTATAGAAACACTAACATATACTTGAATTTGTCTGCACTTGATGAAGTAAGGCTGAATGCACATTAAGAGTGTTTTCTCAAATGAGATAAAATTACAAGCTTCACAAAACATAAATAGAATCTGTACAGAAGTGGGGGAGTCTGAAACAGTATCTCTGATTGTTTTTGTTTGGTTTTATTTCCCTTTATTGGACTGTAAGCAATGAGACCTTATTTCTTTTATCTGGTAAAATATCACTAGTCTTAGCTAGACTAGGGTCATTTACATAACCATTATAAAAACAAATAACTTAAAATAGTATTTCTTTTAAAGCTTAAGGGAAAAATCATTAGATTAAAAAATGATATTATAAAACCACTAGATCTTTTTTTATAAAAACAAATAACACTAAGTAAGGCTCCACATAAGCACTATTTGAGCGTATCTAAATTTGGGTGGTTTGTTAGAATATAATAAGTGGCATAAATCTCATCACATGATTGTAAGCTATCCTTTCATGCTGTAAAAAGAAAATGTGTTTATCTCAGGGGACAGATGTGAAGTCTCCCTGAGTTAATATGTATGAAATGCAAGCCAGCAAGTGCTAAAAATTCAATCAACTGTCTCTATTTTTACTAGTAAACAATAAACAAAAAGGCCTTAGTTTGGAGGCAGTATTCAAATCATTTGGTCCAATAACAGCATACACTTTTCTTTATAATGTTACCTGTCCCACCATTGTTTCCCAGCAGGGTCCCCGGGGTACATCTGCAGGGTGAACAAAAAAGGGTGGTCCTGTGGTGTTCCCGGAGAGGGATTCATTGTAAGCCTTAATCATGTTGGCTTCCCACAGAGTAATATTGGCCTTCACGTGCTTCTCCTCTTCAATCTAGAAATCAAAGAAGTGGACAGGAAAATCACATAGCACAGTTTCAAAGGCATTCCTGGTAATCTCCAAACTGGGAAATTATCATGCTGATGACAAGGACAATCCAGACACAAGGCTCACCTTGTTGTTAATCTCATCCATCAAGGCAAGAATAAATACATACAAGTTGCCTAGAAGAAGAGCAAAAATGCGCCCCAGGAGCCACTTCAGAGCAATGAGAGGGTGGTAATCTTCCAGTTCAGCAAATAAGTCAAATAGTGTGGGACAGAACATCCCCAGGAGGGACATAACCATGTTCATCTACAATGAGACACAGAAATTGGGGTGTTTCCATTATTACCGCTTCTGTCCAGAAGTAGGGAAGATTTTCAGCTAGGTTCCTTTGATATCTTATAAAACTGAGACTATGCCATGCATTTTTAGTATTTGGTCTCAATAAAACAGCAAAGACACTATTCAACTTGTATTTGCTATATATATGAGCTTGTGGATGTGCCCCTAATCATGTTTCTTATAATATCATTACTATAGGAGTATTTTGAAAACAAACTTGATAAATGATTTGTGCTATTTTTGTCCTTTTGGGGAAAAAATCCCTCTACTTAATAACTTCCACTTTACAGGTTTTCATGGAACAACTATGATACTGTTATCTCTAAATGTGTGGTTCATTTCTGCTTATATCACATCTGAAGCTTTTATACTGTTTTTATGAAGAGATATTTTTTATACTTCTGCTGAATCACTTGCCAGCCAAGACATTTCTAAGAAATCACACATTTATCAAGAGTCACCTCAAAATTCTTCCATTGACCAAGCTTTGCAGAAGTTTCCATCTGGGATGCCTAAATATCCCCATAGCATAAATCTGTGCATGCTTTGAAAATGCCCAAGTTCAAACTGATGTTGTGTGGTATGTGAAAATATTTGATGTACCACAGGCTCTAGCAATAACTCAGGATCAATTATTTCCTGATTTGAAATCTGTATTCTCATCATCTCTCTCCTACACACTAATTGGGCAGATTCTCTGAAGGCAAATCTGGCCAAGAGTCGGCCTTTGTCATTTGAATAGCTGAGGAACAAAGGCTTTAGCAAGAAAGAGATGTTTCACTGGGATTCTTGTGAAAAGCCTGGAAACACAAAATTAAGCAGACAATATGAGTGCTTCTTATAAGCTAGGTATAGGAACTAAGGGCAAACTAATCAGGAATCTGGCCTTTTAGTTGTAAAAGTGACATCTTCCAAGAAAGCAATATTGGATTGTAGGAAAATAAATAAAGTAAAACATTAAGGCTTTCAGCCTGGTTTTCCTAACTATGCCTGTCATGCTGTCTCCTAAGATCCACCATTCCCTCTATAAAATATTCTCTTCTCTCTTTCAGTTCTAACTCTCCATCTTGACATACATTGAAAACCCAACAGCACAGATTTGGAAACAGGACAGTAAGGCGATGAGAAATGTGCAGAGTAGTGGGTAAGCAGAAGAGTAGAATGGAGCACTAGGCAGGGAGCAGCCTTGTCTCAAGTTCAACTTCAGAAACACAGCCCACAAACCAGCAAGTATGAGTTTCTAAGCATGTTAAAAGCATGCAGAGACGAACTTCATTTTTTTCCCACCACCCAAGGGTGTCAGGATCTTGCTGTGCAAATTCTTGGGATCGCTTCACAGCCCAAAAGATGAGGTATCCACTTGCACCAAGTGTTAGGAACACGAAGAAGTTAGCAAGAAACCTCAGGAATCTGATGAGGTGGACATTCTCCTCCACCTGGGCGGCTCTTTCTTCTATGATCGCTTCCTGCAGCCAGGCAAAACAGAACGTAAGAGAAACACTGCTGAAAAAAGACTATGAATTGAGAAAAACAAGGAACAAAACTGTGAACTAAACCTAAAATTCTATAAAGTACCTGAATAATGATGGAACAGGACAGTCAGTGAATTGGTCGAGGCAGGAGGATGAGTAAGTTTGGGGTTAGCATCTACTACATAGCAAGCTTGAGGCTGACCTGGGCTACATGAAACCCTTTTAAATCATATCACTAGGAGAATCTTCATTCTAAAAGATACTTCTTCTAGTACTTAATTTTTACAGGGGGTTGGGGGCATGTAGGGCTTTGCTTTTATGAAAAAATTGCATGTATCTTATGGTAGCTTCAAACTCACTTTATTAGTTGAGGCTGTACTTAAAGTCCTGATCCTCTTGTCTCCAATTTCCCAAACCCCAGGGTTATAGGTGTGTGAAACCATGCCCTGCTCTACTGGTATTGCTTTAAACCTATGTTGTAATGCTGCAGAATCAATTTACTTACTGAACCTCCATGTTTCTGCAAATAGCTAGTGAGCACCATCACATGATTTGAACTATCTGATTCTTATAACCAGTGAACTCCTATTTCAACCAAATCACAGTATTTTATTACTAAATTTGAAGAAGAAAAGTCCTGAAGAAACAATGCAGCTGCTATGGGTCACAGGCTATTTTTGTCATAATTAGACTCATGTCCATATCATAGTAGGCAGCAATGATAAGATTATCCTTCTCCTAACTTGACAATTCACATGGAATGCTTCCCAGCGATATGCTTAGAATACAAAGAATGAGTTTTTTGGGGTTTGTGCCTTTACCTTAAAATTCATTGTGATAGAATTAAATTTGTTGTCAGCTGTTTCGGGGTTACCAATCAGATAGTCCCAACTGCAGAATACCTTCCAGCTGAAGTTAAAAGTATTGTCATCGCCACCCCCATCGTCACCAATATTTTTGGTCATCCTGTAAAAGCAGGAGTTTAATACAGCAGCCAGATAAAAGTAAGACAGGCAGACAAGGGAGAGAGTAAACAGCAATCACAGGTAAACTGAAAATGCAATGTCTGGATCACAGTTTAAACAGGTTGTTCACATAGACAATAGGAACTTCAACTTCTAAATTTATTTACTTGTTTCTTAATTCTGTCATTCTCCAGTGATCAAAAACAACTATGATGATTTTAATACCTATAGAGACTAGCAGGATAAATCCCCTACAGAGAGAAGGTAGGATTATTTTAAGGCCGATACAAAGCTCCCTGAACTCTGTTCTTCAAAGGAAACTGAGACAAAGATTAGATTGGAAAACAGTGCGAGACCCAATGGTAGGCCTGAAGCTGGAAGCACTGGCCGTGCCTTACTTGCTGTCCATTTCCAGAAGCGCTGGCTGTGCCTTACTTGATGTCCATTTCCCTTACTGAGCCCCGTGACTGCAGAGCTTTATTTTACTCATCATTAAGTCTCCAGGAACTACACAGCTCTCTAGATCGCTCACAGTAAAGATACTATACATTGTTTTTAAATGAATAGAAGTAAATTTAGCACCAGGAAAAGCTTTAACAATAAGCACATATACCATGAGCAGTCTTTTGTATACATGCCTACACATGGGATTGCTTGCTAGTCTGTTCTTGACATTATAAAAGCTTTTGCCAGTATTTGCCATTCATCCTGGACTGTGTTTGTAAAAAGAGAATTTTGCAGTTTGAATCTCAGAATTCTAGACACAATTCATAAAGCAGTGACATGAAATGGAACATGGTGACTTTAGACCTTTCATTCATCACTGCCCTTCTGTTCCAAGCACTCTTGAAAGAGGACCAACTGCAGCTTGGAGAGGAGGGGGAGACAGTTGTGTGCTGTGCTGGATCTTTTGGGAGGTTATGTTCCTGGAATAAGTTGGCCTCGCAGAGCCTTCCAAGGCATCCTTTAAGGTCTGAATCTCATCATTAGAAACAGTGGATAGCATCATCTCCAGTGGAAATACTACTGACAAGTAAAATATTAATGTGAAGTTCTTGAGGGGTTCTAGGTTTTTATTCTCTAAGTGTATGAGAGAATTGATGAACAAAAGGGGACATAATTGGTTGTTGGGAAACAAATTTGACATTGAGATTCAATGTCAGGAAATATGGAAGACATTTAGGCAGGGTTTGGCGTGGGTCACAGATATTCTTGTTAAATATAAAAGAAGTAAAAAGAAAGTGGTGGGGATAATTACAATTTAAATAGAATGTAGAAATATTTGTACTCCTTTGAGAATTATGTGTGAGGTCACTGGCCCCCAGATTCTAATGTGATCCAGAAAAATAAATGGGTTTTGTAATATACTTATATTTGAGAAGGTTATTTTTTAACAACAAAAGTTTAATACAAGAGTCATATCAAGGCAATTTAACTCCAAATGGATTTTACAACACATAAAAGAATAGTTTTTAAATAGATTTTAAAATTATAAAAGGCCACCCAGAACAGACTAGAGATTTATCTTTGTCATCATGAGATGAATGAGTCCTCCTCAGAGATTAGGAAAATAAGAATGCATTTAGGGCAGTGATTCTCAACCTTCCTAATGCTGCAACACTTTAACAGAGTTCCTCATGTTGTAGTGACCCCCAACCATAAAATTATTTTTGTTGCTTCCTTATAACTAATTTTGCTACTGTTGTTAATCATAATGTAAATATCTGTGTTTTCTAATGGTCTTAGGTGACCCTTGTGAAAGGGCCTCTGACCACTTCCTCCCGCCAGGGGTTGTGACCCATATGTTGACGACTATGAGTTAGAGGCTGGTGTTCAGAATTCTGTTCTGGCTGTGTGAGTGTGATATGGTCACCAAGCTGCTGAACCTTAAATTCATCATCTGTTCCACAAGTACAACTGATACGTCTTCATTCACTACACAAGACACATGGGAGGAGCATCTTGATCCTACAGACGATGAAATCAGAGGGCAGGGTGTAGCAGAGTACTTTTCATCTACACAGATTTGGGTTCAAACAGGTTCGAAGGACACATGGCCTTTGGTACTCTTTATTTAGTAACCTGTAAAATGGTATTATAGTAGTTTTGTAATGGTTAAGAGGTAACAATTTTCACTGGAGATGTAGCTCAATAGAATGCTCGCCTAACATGCATGAGACTTTGTGTTGGATCCTTAGCAACACGTAAATCAGGCATGGTGGCACAGGTTTGTTATCCCATCACTCTGGAAAAGGTAAATTTGAGGCCAGCCTGGGATACATGAGACCCCATCTCAAAAAAGCATAACCAAAACCAAAAATCAAACAAAAAATGAAGGAACAGTTAGTGGTTGTCATGATGTATATACCATGTGTTAGGCAAATATCAATTATTATTTTAAGTATAAATTTTAGTTTTTGTTAGAGATTCTGAAGTATGTATACTGCCAACTTTCCCAATTAAAAAATAGTTTTATGTTTATGCTTATACCAGCTAATGACATATGTTGCTTTATGATACATGTAAGATAGTATATGTAGACAAAACATTTACAACTTTTACACATGGCAACATAAAGTACTAAAGGATATTTCAGTCTGTTCTATGCATAGCATTACTGCCAGACTTACAAACAGTAGAGAATGTGTGCACTGTCAGGGAACCTGTGGTAGGGAAGTCTTGGGAAAACTTTCTGGGATAGAATGGCATTAATAAGCTCCTCATTAGGCACACATTCAATGAATTATTCAGCTCTTTCCAGCAGTTTGTTATAAAGTATGCTGGTAAAATCCAGAGTTTTTAGCTTATCGAATTGATTTGGATGAGAACAGTTACATTTAGGGGAAAATCACTTTTAGTTTGTGATAGTATATGAACTTCAAACACTACGCAGTCACTGATGGTTTCCCAGTCACCAACATTGCAACATTCAACTGTTCTAGCTGCCTCCACAGCTTAGGTATTGCATTTAGTATCAGGATTTCAGAGCTTTGAAGAGGGAGGAGAGGAAGGGAAAGACTTTAAGTTAAGGCAACCAACCATTCATGTCAGGAATTCCCACAACTTTCAGACCTAAAACTGGGAGAGTCCTGGGCTAACCAAACAAAGACCTTCTACCTGGAATGCTCAAAGTAGTTTCTTTTTATTTTACTGTCTAATTTTTCAGCTAGATAATTTAAAATATATCTTTTCCCCCATTTTTTAGATGAGGATGGTGAAGTACAGGCAAGATGACATGATACCATGAACCCAGGGTCTTGCACATGATATGCAAGTACAGCACCACTGATTATATTCCCAGCCCTGCATGTTCCCACCTTCCAAAGGCCTGTGTTTATGTTAATCCCTATTGTTTTTAGTATAGAATAGTTTAACATCAGTGCTGATTTGTCAAGGCCCATAAAGATGGCTCCACTCTATCTTGACTAAAGGTCAGAGTTCAAAACTGTCTTTATTAAGTCATAAGTCCTAAAGGTCAAAGGCAAAGATACAGTAGGATGTAATGACAATGTTCTTCTGTGTATATGTTTGTTTTATTGATTGATGAATAAAGCACTGTTGGCCAATCGGGAAGCAAGATAGGTGGGACTAGGAGAGGTGGAGGATTCTAGGAAACATGGACACAGTCAGTCACCACATAGGACATGAGAGAGGTAACAGAGTCTCTGTGTGTTATTTGGGGTTGACACGGCACTGAGACTAGGCTGCCATGAAGCGTTATTGTAACATTATGGCACCACAATGTGGTTTTTATGAACTTATAAATAAAAACTCCACAAAAACTTAAAGATTGTTTTTAGTAACAAAAGAACAAAGGCAGGCACAGCTTCTTGGTAGCAGTGAATTCTCAGATTCTGTGTGTTTATTTCATTTACACAATGTTCTTCGATGGCAGATTTTCAAGGCAGTTTGCTGTGCCCGAGGACAGCTCCGTCCAGCAGGTGAGGCCCCGGGTTGGGAAGGGAGGCCAGGCTTAGCGGGGTGGACAAGCAGGCAGGCAGGCGGGCAGCCCCGGGGAGCTCTGTGGGGCCAGAGGTTGAGCTGGGCTGGGCTTGGCTGAGCCGCACGGGCCTGGGCTGGGCTGCATCACAGCCGAGCTGAGCTCTATTTGCCAGGCATTCTTTGAGGCAAGCAGATGCTTCTGGCTCCTTTAAGAGCATGTTCCAGATTTGCGTAAGTGGCCAAAACATAAGATTCATGTGATTGACCAAAGATAAAGATTTACAGTAATGAAAAATATATAGAGATTTAGGAGAGAAAATAAAAAATAGTGAGTAGCTGGGTACGGTGACACACGCCTTTAATCCAAGAACTCCAGAGGCAGAGGCATGCAGATCTCCACAGAGAAACCCTGTCTCAGAAAAAATAAAAGAAAGAAAGTAAAAGAAATTAAATAATAAAAATCCAGGTAAAGATGGAAAATACTAAGAGAGTCTGGATACTATATGTTATACTGTTGTCTTCAAATTGTTTGATTGCCAAGGAAAGAGCTACAGCTGCTAAAGATACATTTGATTATAGGTGCTACTAAATTAATCCAACTTATATATTTTGAAAATGCTTTGACTTCTAAATTAAAGCATAAGGACAGGTCACTTGTGAAAAGAGATTTTGCTTGTGTTTCCATAGAAAATGTAAAGCTATGGATTCCTGCTAGACTAATATGGTTTGATGAAGCAAGACCCCCTGAAACGGTGTCCTAGGTGTTCCAACGTCTAAAACAGCTGAGATTATGCAGCCTTCCAGACTACAAAAACAAGGACATGGCCAGGTTTCTGTGTTTTGTGATGATTCCCATGTATGGAGAGCACACCCAACCAGCAGAAAGCAGTTTGGAAGGAACACTGCCCAAATTCCCAAACATTGTTTATAAATTTTTGTTTTCATTTAAATGGGATTGGTTAAATGGTAAATGATCACAACCAATCTCCTTTTAAAGGTAAAATGGAGATTATGGTATAGAAATGAACACTTAGTATTGGAATGGATTTTCATTTATTGATACAAATTTAAGATCAATTTTGTGATATATATGTACTTCTCTTGTTTAGGTATTGTGTTTGTATAGCTCATTTAAAAATGTAATGTATATACAGTACAGATTATATACCTATAATAGTCATAACTTAGGTTAGTTAGGTTTTCTAGATATACAGAGATATATTTGAAATGGATAGGTAGTCTTCAAACCTTTAAAAGGCCTACAGAACATGACATTTAAAATGGTTTAGGGTTTTTCTTGACAATGAGACAACTGCTCCTGACAACACCAACTGTGTCAGAAGGAAAGACAGACATGGAATAAACTCATTATAGAGTTTGTTTCCATTATGGCAAGACTAGCCATTTGGGCAAGAAACTGCTTTTGTCTAGACTGTTTGACTTTATACTGTATAAAATGGACATGCAGGACCCACAGGAAAGTGACTACTAAAACAAGACAGTCATTGTTACAGGGTTCCTGCTTCATGGAAGAGTCAGTCAGACATCCTACAGGACACAGAAAAAAATATCTGACAAACTGCCAATACAGGCAGACAGGTTAAAGTTTCCTACATTGTTGAGGAGTCTGCCAGACACACTATGGCCTATGGGCTGAAGATAAAACATTACAGAACTTTGGGTGATTGACCAGGCAGTGAGTGATCTCTATTAATTCTAAAGTTTATATACTATACTTTGATGGAGTTGAAGACAGGTAGTTATAGTTATGGTTTCATTAGTTATGATAATTGTTAAGCTACATATAAGACTTTAGACTCATAACGATAGGATAGATGATAGAATATTTTCTTTAAATCTTGCTAAATGTTAATGGACTAAATATTATAACTATAGCTCTTACTTGATAACTGTTTTCTTATATATAATTTTACTATGTTAAAGCTAAAACCCTTCTTTTTATTTAGACAGAAAAGAGGAGATGATGGGGAATGTTTTTCTGTGTATATATTTGTCTTATTGGTTGATGAATAAAGCACTGTTGGCCAAAAAGGGAAGCAAGATAGGTGGGACTAGGAGAGGTGGAAGATTCTGGGAAATGTAGGCACAGTCAGTCACCATGTAGGACACGAGAAGAGTAACAGACCCTTTCTCCAGTAAGAGAAGACCACCTGGAAATATTTACATTATTAGAAATAGGTTAATGATTTAGACAGATCTAACCAATAAGAAGCCATAGACAGTGGCTAACAGTTTCATAATTAATATAGCGTCTGTGTGTTCATTTGGGACAGAGAAGGGCAGTGAAACCAGCTGAGCCAAGAAAACTCACCTAACAAGGATGTTTGATCTTGGCCTTGGGTGTCTTATCTAAATAACAACAGGCATGGTCTGAGGTGTGATTACCCTAACCCTTGAGGCCAGGTAACGAGAAATTGAATCTAAGGTGTTGTTACTGAACCCTTGGATAATTAGGAAGAAAAGTCTGCTTGTTCTATATACATGATATCATGTTCCCCTTTTCAGTTAAGGTATTTAAGAATGGTGAAAAATAAACTCAAGGCATTCAATATTGACTGAATCTGCCCTCCTGATTGTATTCTGTATCTCCATCTTTTCCTTTAACATCTTTAGCTAGCCTTTCTTAATCCAGACTCCCCCTCTCAGGCGCGAACCATGGGCAAGCAGCTGGATCTGACTGCAGCCCCACAAACACGGGCCCCCCACATATGGTGAAGCAACGTAGGGCTAATACAGAGGGCGACTACACCGATTCATCACTTACATACTTGCTATTGTCTAGACATGAAATAGTATCAATATTATATCCAATTCTCAAAATTATTTGGATTGATTCCAGAAATCAGATTAAAAACTTACGCTTTGAGTACAACCAGAAAGCTGTATCCAATGCACATAATCCCCACCAGGAAGTAGGAGAGAGGTAACCGGAAATTCAGCCATCCAATAGTGCGTTTATTGTCGTAGTAGCCATAAAAAAGGACAGAGTACTGTGCAAGGCCCTAAAATTCAACAAAAGGCCACTTACTTAGAAGATGTTATAAAAGCAACACAAAGAAAACAATGGACTTTACAAAGAATAATAGAATGACATTAATTTCTATTGAGGTCACAGTCTGACACCAGTCTTATTGTTTTGTACCATAGAGTTAATGTTCCAGTTGTCATATTGATTGACAGCTATCTGAAATTCAATGACTTCTAAATAGGCAAAATTTTAACCAAGCAGTGGCTTGCTCCAATGTGAACTATTCCTGTGCCCATTCATTTAAACATCAAAACAAACTCATGGTATCATTTAAAGAATTTGCATAATATACATGTAGGAGATCTCTGGAATGTTCCTCTTTAAAATATTCACTGGGAGTCTATTTCTTGTCACTTCAGTCGTAATTAAATCTGCTCTCCTTAACCATAGAGCTGTGTCTCAGATACATCTTAGCAAAAATAAACAGGCGAAATATTAGAAGCAATGACAATCCTTCAGGCAGACTGATAGCATCACCTCATAACAGCCATCTTCATCTATGCACAACATCTTACCCAAAAACTATCATCCCAGATAAGAGTCACCATCCCCCAAAGGCAACTAAATAACCCCCTCTTTGCACACAGACCACTGAAGTATTCTGATGCCACTTTCTCTACCATCACCTTTCTCTCCCATGCTTTCACTCTCAACCTTGAAGCATTGTTTCTATAACATGTTGTATATCCACTCCCTGGCTCCTGTCTACCTTCTCTTAGGAAATCACTTAAATGATCATTTTTATTTTGTTAAACAATTGGACAATTTAGGGATTTTCTTGAAATCAGGGGAGTTACTTTTGAAATTCTTACAAAAACCAATTAGCTGTTTTTAAAGTCGTGTATATCAACCCAGTAGAGGACCTACCAGTGAAGAAGGAGGGAATGGAGGTAGGTGTTGGGGCCCACAGAGATGGCTCCATTTCATCTTGACTTAAGGTCAGAGAGTTCAAAACTGTCATTATTCTTCCAAGGTTAAACTCATATGACCTAATAATCTAAGACGTGGCTACTATAGGATGTTTGATCTTGGTTATTGTGTCTTGTCTAAATAACAACAGACTTGGTCTGAGGTGTGGTTACTCTTGATCCTCAAGACCAGATAATGAGAAATTGAGTCTAAGGTGTGGTTACCAAATGTTTGGAGAATTAAGGAAGAAATTCTGTTTGCTCCTTGTACATGATAAACAAGTATTTTGCCTTGTTCCCCTTTTTGGTTGGGGTATTTAAGAATGTTGAAGGATAAACTTAGGGTGTCCAGTGTTCACTAGATAGCCCTCCCAATTCTGTCCTGTGTCTCTGTCTTTCTCTTAGCATCTTTACCTGCCATTTCTGAATCCACACTCCCCCTCTCAGGCACAAACTGGCCAAGTTGGCTGGATCTGAAGCCCCACAAAGACAGATTACAACAGGTAGGGCAAAATAGACAGGGACAAGGGAAAGTACCTTGGAGAGTAAATCCTAGAAGGAGAATGAAGAGAAGGAATTGAGAAAGTTGACCTAAATAAAGATCATGCCTTGCTCAAATATTTTATTAGCAGGATCTGAAGAACTACTTCTTTCAAATTTTGTTTTTTAATAACATAAGAACCACCAGAAAATACAATTTTTACACACACAAAAAATCCCAAATTAGTTTGTGGATCTAAGTAGGTAAGGATTGGATATGAGGACTACAGGCAAATAATGATGTGCTAAGCCCCTCTGTACCACATAGGTCTGCATCTTCATCCTTTGTCTTGAGTAATAAAGTCCATCTGTGGTAGTTAAGTCTCCAGAAATCCTGTATTAAATAGTTTCTGGATGTGTTATTGGAGGTATTTCTGATGAGATTAGTTTCGGTGTAGGTGAACTCAGTAAAGCAAATAACTATTTCCAATATCGGAGCATCCATCCAATGAGTATGGTGAACATTACTAAATGCTCAGGCTGCAGTATCAGCTAATATATTTTGTTGATAATTTAGTAGCAGTGGAACACCTTATTTCATCTCACAGAACTGTCTAGTGAGTCCTGAGATGGCACCACTTCTGGGTCACACATCTTTCCTCACCCTAATGTTTCTTCCATAGGTAGAAGTTCTCTAAGTATAACATTCCCAGCCATTCTTGAGTTCTTCACTGCATCTCAAGGAGAAGAAACAAGTCTCAGAGTAGAGCCCAAGATATAAAAGGGAATAGCATGCTTCCCTTCTGGGAGGATACACTGGCTTTGTCTGCCCATGCAAAAGAAGACCTGCCCTGGCACAAGGTCTGGCAGTGAAACCTACTTTTCCATAAATGATACTGCATTTTTCACATCTGGTTTAGCCTTATTTTTTCCTCTGGCTACCTAACAACTTGGTTAGATAATGAAAGAGTCATTTACCACAACATTGCCCCTCAACTAACACATATGAATATTCAGTAGCTACTACCCTGATATGTAGTTTTCAGGTAAACAAACTCAACCTTTAGAAGTTAAGTAACTGGCCAAATTCACACAGCTAGTACATGATAATCTGAACTCGAGCCAGCTTTGGCATAAATCCCATGCATTTGAATACTGAGCTACCCACTTCTTATGCTTTCTTTGTCTCCCAAGATATGGATCATGTTAGTACCATATCTTCCCAAGGAAAGAAAGAAGCAAGACTTGCTGCCAATATAACAAGAGCTGATCTCTGTTGTTTGCTTGTACTCTCTGTAAAGACTATGGACATCTTTTTTTGAAAAGGTTTCAGAGATTTTTCATCTCTATGTCCATAAGTGTTACAGCCTAACATCATTTATAATTCATAATCACAAATAGGAGAGTTAAGGAGAGACCCTGAAAATAGAATAAGAAGTGGACCCAGACCATAGAGAGCATCTGGCTGGTTCAGCGCAATAGTTACTAGGGGCAGCTGCCTCATCTAGTGCCTGTCCCATTGAACAGATATTCATAGATTGCACTTCGCAAACAGTAGATCACACCAAAGTAGGTGAGTGCCTTCTTTCATGCGTCCGGAGGGTGGGGGGTGATTATTCACAAGTTTTTTTTCCATTAACCTATTGCTACACACATGCAAGCAAGTATATAAATGGTCATCACCAAACTCAATTTTAATTTCAAAAGCTTTACCAAATCTATCTAAGGAGTACAGCTATGGTTAATTATGAGTTGGGAGTCCTAAAAGAGAAATATCCTCCCTTGCTATGCAGTGGGCATGCCACATGTCTTTCTCCAACCCTTAAAACTACAACAGCCGACATCTGGAAGAGACCAAAATAGCAACGACTTCTTGCCCAGTCACGGATGTATTCAGTTGCTATGTGAGTGGACCCTGATTTCCCCGTGGAAGAATTCTCCTCTCCCCCAAGATCTGTGACAGATAAACTACAGCCAGACCCAAGTTTCAAATCAACACAGAAAATGCCTTTCCAAATCTGCACCACTATGCTCATATGTCTTGTTTAAAGGCTGCAATTGCTCTGGTCCATAGCCACCCACACCTCACCACAAAAAGCGAGAAGACTAGAGGTTTTGATTATCTTGTCACTAGGAATTAACTTGTGCATTTATGTAATATTTACTGATAACTCAGTATTTGGCAAATACAACACACAGAGGAGAAAACCAGATTACTGGATTCCTCAAGAGTGCTGCATTCAAAATACCAATATCAGGAGTGTTTGTTCCCTATAATTGTATCAATACTCTTTCTCTCAGGTATTTCATATAATTCTAAATAAATACTCCCTTTGAAAGACAAAACTCTATCCCCAGCATGGTAAATTAATTTCATCATTTTTAGCAACTCTTGTTTATTTGTACTAGCTGTCAGGCAACTATTTTGTGGGCGAATTCCCCACAAAGATAAAATTGGCTTAAAGTGAAGGTAGCACTTATGAGGCATGTCACAGAGGTTATATGAGGGAAAAGTGGTCCTGCAGGAACTGAGTTCACTTACATTTCCACTTTGAATTGTTTCTGATCATTCACATCTTCCAATTAATTGAGAAGGTTGCAGGTTGGAGTGAAAGAGAGGACAGGACCGCTTACTAAGGAAAGCAAAGGTTATGGAGGCTGATACACCCAACAGGAGGCTTAATGTTGCAGGAGCAGCCTGACCCTTATGGACAACATGCTGAGAGCCACCAAGATACCTCCATATTCCTAAGCAGATCCACAGTCTCTAGTCCAGTGTTTTGCTCGCATCTATACTTCCTTACTTCTTAAAGAAATTCAGATCCAAGAACCTAGACCAGATACTGCATGGGTCCTGTTTATTTGTTCAGTTGTTACTATTTTAATTAGCATACAAAGTAACAGTCTTCAACATGATATTTTCATTCATTATCTTTCCCAGCCCTTCCTTGCCCCCAGGTCCCCTTCCAGCTGGTCCTCTTTCTCACCCACTAGCTCCTTTTCTAGTCTTATGATATATGTATCCTATTATCCTCCTCTCCTCTCCTCCCCAACCCTATCTAAAGACCTCATTTTCCCCTACCCTGGCCCCCATTCTGGTTTTATGGTCTACACCCCCCAGGTACACACACATACACCCACATGAACACCCACACATACACATATTTACCTTTCTGAGTCTCAAAACTTTGCTTACAGAATAATTTCCAGTTCCTCTCATTTTGCTCTGATCATGGTGATGTCATCTTTCTTTACAGCTGAATAAAATCCCATTGTTATAGAGTACATTTTCCTCATTCACTCATCTGTGGCTAACAGTAACAATGAATACTGGCAAGGATGTGGGGAAAGGACCCCTTAGTTACTGTGAGGGAACTATAAGCCCTTGAAGTCCCTATGGAAATCAGTACAGAGATTGCCCTAAAAAACTCAAAATAATATTACCATATGACTGCAGAAAGACTTGCCACATGGTTCTTGTTGTATAATGTATGTCTTAGAGAGATGAAGCAGAACTGAGCCACCACAGACTTTCTCTTCAACAGGTTAATGTCAAAGACTTCATCCCTCAAAGCTGTGACAAAAA